AAGGAGACTCTGTATCAAGTTGTTGCAAAGTGGGTTTGGGTTGTTTTGTCAAGCGGAGGATCTGCCTTTCTGGGCGCTGCCCAGCAACTGCGTCCACACCGCAGAGCTAATCCGGTCTGACAGCGCTTTAACTGCCATGGATGGCTCAGTGCTCAATGCTATGGGATTCTGGGGATCTGGGTTTTGTTGTGGCACCAGAGCAAAGCTGCCAAGTTCTCCTTTAAGGTGCATCTATACTGTAGAAATAATGCAGTTTGACACCACTTTGAGGGCTATAGCTCCATCTGATGCAATCCCGGGATTTGTAGTTTCACAAGAGCTTCTCTGGCAAAGAGTGCTGGCTTGGTGTGCCTCTTTTGGTTGGTTGTTGTGTGCCTTGAAGACCGGCCTAAGGCAAGCCTAGTTTCTTCAGGTGGGTTTTTTGACTTCCCCTGAGGCTGAGAGAGTGTGACTTGGCCAAGGTCACTCAGTGGGAATCATGGCCCAGCTGGGATTCGAACCCTGGTCTCCCAGCGTCCTAATCCAGAGCGCAAGCCACTCTGCCCCACTGGCCCTCACCAAACTATAAATCCCAGGGTTCTGTAGGATGGCGCCAGGGCGGTTCAAGTGATGCAAAACTGCATTATTTCGGCAGTGCAGATGCACCCTTAGTGGAAGGGGATGACTCCCAAAACGTTTTTACGCGCGACATCCTACCGAGAGTTGAACCGGTTGAAAGGGCACCTAATTCGGATTAGTGCCCGCGATCCTAAACAAACCTGACCAGGGAAGGAGTACAGTCACCCCCAATGAGGTTTATTTCTGAGTCAAAATGCATCGGATCGGCTGTGCATCCGCACTGCAGTATTAATGCAGTTTGATACCGCTTTAACTGCCCTGGCTGAAGGCGATGGAAGCTCTGGTGCCATAAACTACACATCCCAGGCTTCCATCGCATTGTATCATGGCCAGGGTGACCTGATATCGTAACCACAAAGGAGGACAAAGCACTGCAAAATGTAGGACATTCGAGGAAAAAATGTAGGCCACACCAAATAATAAACTGAAAACACTGCTGTAAATGTAAATTCATGCTTCTTGGGTCCAAAACACACTCCAGGAATAATCCAGTTTGAGACCGCTTCAAGTGCTCTGGCACCATGCCATGGGATTCTGGGATTTGTAGTTTGTTGGGGCACCAGAGTTCTCTATCACAGGTCCAGTCCACATTGCGGAAATAATCCAGTATGAGATCGCTTTAAGTGGTCTGGCTCAACACTAGGGAATTCTGGGTCTGGTTTTGTGAGACATTGAGCCTTCTCTGTCAAAGAGCTCTGGTGCCACAATAAACTACAATTCCCAGGATTCCCTAACAATGAGCCAGGGCTGTTAAAGGAATCTCAAACTGGATTATTTCTGCAGTAGTGTTTTAGATCCCAGGGACTGTGTTCAGACTGCAGAAATAATCCGGTTTTGATCCCACTTTAACTGCCATGGCTCAGTGTTGTGGAATTCTGGGAACTGTAG